CTCTGAGGGACGGTGTGACACACACACACACACACACACACACACACACACACACACTCATTTCTCTCCCATAGCTTTCCCTCCTCGCCTGACTTGCTTCCCTCAACTTGACAGACGTCTGCTGTCTGGCCACTGGCCTGGCCCTGTCTGCGCCTCAGTGTTCTGATCGCTGTCACCTATCTTTAGTAAAGCCCAGTGTTCCTCCTCTCTCCTCTACTCCTTCACTGCCCGAGTCTCCTCACTTGTCCCTCTGGCCCTGCGCACCCCCGTACAGAAACTTCGGTCTCCTGGGTTACCTGTGGCCACCTCACGGCCACACCTGTGTCTTCTCTGACTCACGGTGCCTCCCACTTGTCTGAGGGCTGGTGAGGCTGCAGCTTGCCGGGCCCCACCCCCAGCTTTTTGGTTCAGTGGTCTCAGCAAGTAATCATCATCCCCAGGTGATGCTGATGTCGGAGGGCCCCACAAGGCCCCACATGGCCCCCCGAGAGCCGCAGATGGTCAGCATCTAGTATGCATCCCAGGCCCCTTGCAGACCGGTGGAGGCTTACTTTTCTGACCTCACCGGCAGGACTGACCGCTTGCTCTCCCTGACTGTGGTGTGCCAAGCAGTTCTCACTTTGCTCCCCGTCCCCTCTCTCTTGGGTGCCCTCTCTCTCCCTTCCTGTGCCTGGGCAACACCTACTCACTCGTTTTTCAAGGGCTGGCTGAGCTCAGATGTTGCACACTTTGTGAAATGAGCTGTCCCTCCTGTCGCAGTCAGGATTAAATGCCTCTCCTTTAGATCCCCATACCTCCAAGAGAAGATCGGTCACATATTTGCTCAATCACCCCTTTCTTAATTTGTTTAGCAAATGGTTGGGTCACAGTCCCTGGCCTTCGGATGCTTATAATTTCGTAGGAAACAAAAGGCCTTTAAAAAACAAACCTCAGCGTGAGACAGTCTATAAGAGCTCTTCCAGGGTGTAAGGAAATCCTTTACTGATGGAAGAAAGGAGTTTGGGGCAGGGGCTTGGGGGATGACATACAAAACAGGGTCTGCAGGATGGGTGGGTTGGCCGGTGAAGCTGCGGCTCTCCCTGGCTGCTGAGTTCCCCCAGACACCTCTCTCTGCCTTCCACCTGTCCTTGCTGTAACACAGCCACCTCTCCCAGAATGCCAAACCCAGAATCCCGCCCCATGAAAGGCCTAGGAAAGGGGTGCCTGGGTGGCTCAGTGGGTTAAGCCTCTGCCTTCGGCTCAGGTCATGATCTCCAGGTCCTGGGATCGAGCCCTGCATCGGGTTCTCTGCTCGGCAAGGAGCCTGCTTCCTCCTCTCTCTCTCTTTGCCTGCCTCTCTGCCTACTTGTGATCTGTCAGTCAAATAAATAAAATCTTAAAAAAAAAAAAAAAAAAAGGAAAGGCCTAGGAAAGACTCTCCAGGTGCACAAAGAAAGGGCCCTTCACTCAAACGGGGCACAGCATGGGAATGCCCACAACCTGGGAGCCTGAGGCGCCCCCTGGAGGCAGCACCCACCTGAGCCTGTACTGGCAGGTGGGGCCTCGCTCCCAGCCTCTCTTCCTGCCCCTACCTCCTGCTGACTCCCAGCTGTGGATTAACCCAGCCTTTGCCCCTGGCTTTCCCATCACCTGTGTGCTGTCTCCCTCCCCAAATCCATTCACTCCTGGGGCTCTGTCTGGGGATTCTCGGGCTCTAGGGTTCACGTGAATCACCCAGGGATCTTGTTAGAGGCAGATTCTGAGTCAGTGGCGGGGCGGTCGGGGGCGGTCTGGGAATCTGCATCTCTGTCAAGTTCTCAGGCAACGCCGGGCCCAGGCCAGGGGCTACGCGTCTAGTAGAAAGTTTGCCACTTTGTTTGACAGTTCTGGGTCTCATGGTGTGCTTTGAACGTGGCACCGAACCCAGAGACCAAAATGAAATGGAAGTAGTAAAAATGTAAATAAACTCTTGCTAAACTTTCTACAGATCATTGCGTTTAGGCTACACAATACTCCTATGAGGTATTGTCATCACACCGATGAAAATTCCACCAGTCCTAGGGCGCCTGGGTGGCTCAGTTGGTTAAGCGACTGCCTTTGGCTCAGGTCATGATCTCAGGGTCCTGGGTTGGAGCCCCGCATCCGGCTCCCTGCTCAGCAGGGAGTGTGCCTCTCCTTCTGACCTTCCCTCTCTTATGCTCTCTCTCCCTCATTCTCTCTCTCATAAATAAATAAATAAAATCTTTTTTTTTTTTTTTTTTTAAGAAAATTCTATCCTAAAGTGGGCTGCGCCCCCTCCCCACGAAGGATGATGGTGCAGGCAGGCTTCCTACTGCCCAGGGCAGTACCAGACAAGACTCCTGAGATCTTCCTAATTAGGCATGGGGGCTGCGGGCTTTCCTGGGCTTCAGGCAAGACCCTCCCTGCCCTTGAGATGGGGATGGAAATTCCAGGCACAGAATAGGAGATGACCCCTTGCCCACCTGTCAGGCAGGCACCACATTTCAAAAGTGCCTCTCTTTCAAGCTTTTCAACACTTCACAATATTTTGACATGGCAAGAAAAGAAAAAATGGAAATGCTTTAAAACATCTTCCTTCCTTGGATTCTTGTTCTCAGACCACATGACCGAATTGAGGCTTAGTCATAGGATTTCAGTTTAACATATGCAGTTACTATAGCAATTGAGGTTTCCTTAGTAACAGTTGCAAAAATAATCTGGCCCCAATTAATAATACATTTTAAAGCTCTTTCTACTCTACACTGAACAACCCAGTTTTTTGGACAAGAACCAGATAATTCAGGTGGTATCATTTGTGCTGATATAGATATCATTTGCATGTGGTGAATTGGGTTGGAAGGGAATGAAAAGGGAGCTGGTTGTTTCAAGTATTGTAGGAATCGGATCTGAAAAGTCGACTGGCAAGCTAAATGCATCTAGTTTGCAGAGCTGGGAAGCTTACTGGTAAACCCTGCCCTGGATTCCTGTGTGCCCTGGAGGACTTTGTGTGTTTGAAGAAGGGAGAAGGCTGGGGACTGGGCTTGTTTACAAAAAAGACAAAAAGAAGGGTGGGGCGTGGGACATAGGATTTCTCTCTCATATTGGTGTGGTTTTTGTTTTTTTTTTTTTTTAGAGAGAGGGGAAGAGGTGGGGTGCGGGGAGGAGCAGAGGGAGAGGAAGAGAGAGAATCTGAAGCAGACTCCAAACCCAGCATGAAGCCCTTTACTGGGCTTGATTTGATCTCATGACCCTGAGATTATGACCTGAGCCAAAATCAAGAGTTAGACTCTTGACCAACTGAGCCGCCCAGGCGCCACTCATATTGGTTTGCTCTTAATGGCTTGGGAAGGTCTGTGGGAATGTGAATTTAGCAGTCCTTCGTGAATAGTGTCTCCTAATTCACACTGAGTTACTCGTTATTGGAGTTGCTTTTGCAGTAATGGCATTGGGTATTAGATCCCACCGTCCCTTAGCTTGCTGAATCCTCTCTGCCATCCAGAATGTTGATTTATGCGTGACCAAGGTGTCCAAATGACGGTCTGGGGCTTTCAGAAATTTCAGTTGGGGTGTGAAAAGCTGCTTTCACTGTTAGCTCCCAAGGAGGAACTTGGAGCTGTGTCTTTTTCCTTTTTTAAAAACCTTTTCAGTAGGGGGATAATGGTGGGTAGGAGAGTAAGCAGAGCCAGGTGTAATAAGGGTGGAGTGGGTATGATCCCAGATTACCTTCTTGAGATGTATTTTCTTAGACCTTGGCTTCTTGCCACCATAAAGGTGAGCCCAGTCCTTAATTAGCAGGTAGGGTGGCACTGTGTCTGCCCTTCCTCTGGTTTTGGAGCAGGGCAGCGAGGGGAAGGACCCTGGAGTTAGCTCCGTTCTGTCCCATTGCTCGCCACTTTCTTCTCCGCCTCCTCCCCCTCTCTGCCTGCAGGAAGACCACCCCCAGCAATCCTCCGACTGCCTGCTACCACATTTCTCGGGCACGCTCTCCCCCACAGATCCCAGCAGACACTGAGCACGTACTTTCTGAAGCCCAGGCACTGTGCCAGCCTCTGGGGGGTGTAATGATAAGACTGTCCCTAGGCACAATGGTGGTGTTCTTCAGGCCATCCCTGGCACTCAGCATCAGGAGGAGTACACTCGAAATATTTGCAGACTGTCAGGGAAAAGGTTGATCTCTGCCCTCAAGGCGCTCACAGGTTAGGGTGGAAGAGAGACTAAGGAAAAACAGCTGGAAGATATGTAGAGGGTTCTGATGCCAGCGCCGACTGGGGCTGCCGGTCCAGAGTGGGAAGGAGGAAGGGGGAGTGGAGAGATGACTGCGCAGAAGGGCCAGAGGGGAGATGGTGGAAGGAGAGGGGCAGAGACCAGAGCTCAAGGAGGAGGTGCTTGGGGCACCTGGGTGGCTCAGTGGGTTAAGCCTCTGCCTTTGGCCCAGGTCATGATCTCAGGGTCTTGGGATCGAGCCCCATGTTGGGCTCTGCTCAGTAGGGAGCCTGCTTCCCCCTCTCTCTCTGCCTGCCTCTCTACCTAATTGTGATCGCTCTCTGGCAAATAAATAAAATCTTTTAAAAAAAAAAAAAAAGGAGGTGCAGAGGGACTGGGGGAGCGGTGTGGTGGGGTGGGGGGGATTTGCTGGAGGGGTGAGTGGTGGAGATGAGCCAGAACAGTTGGGCAAGAGCCAGATCCTGGAGGGACTTTGTACTGTGAAAAGGAATTACTTTATCTTTATAAGCGATAAGCAGTTGGGAGCCATTAAACTTGCTAAGCAGGAAGTGATTGGGCAGATCTGAGTGTCCTGAGTCCCCTAGAGGCTGGGTGATATGAGGAAGGTGGAGGGATGTCGGGGTAAAGCCAGCTCCTTGCCACTTGTTTCACACTGAGCCGCACTTCGGGGGAAGGCCGTCCACGTTCAGTCTTCCAGAAGCTGTGCTGGGCATAGCCTGGCTGGGGGCTGCAGGCAAGGCCAGGGATGGCCAGGTTTCCAGCGCTTCCGCTGAACTGTCCCCCCTTTGCCTTTGCAGTGACAAAGTTGCAGGTGAGCAAGTCGAAGCGGACCCTCACCCTGGTGGAAAACAGGCCCATCCAGCTGAGCTGCTCCGTCAAGTCTCAGACCAGCCAGAACTCCCACTTCGCTGTGCTGTGGTACGTGCACAAGCCCTCAGATGCCGATGGCAAGCTCATCCTGAAGACCACCCACAGCTCCGCCTTTGAGTATGGCACCTACGCCGAGGAGGAGGGCCTGCGGTCCAGGCTCCAGTTCGAGAGGCACGTGTCCGGGGGCCTGTTCAGCCTCACGGTGCAGAGAGCTGAGGTCAGCGATAGCGGCAGCTACTACTGCCACGTGGAGGAGTGGCTGCTGAGCCCCAACTACGCCTGGTACAAGCTGGCCGAGGAGGTCTCGGGGCGCACGGAGGTCACCGTGAAGCAGCCAGGTAAGGACCCAGGGCACGGCCGTCCCAGGCCAGTGGCTTTAGCATGGAGGGACTGCCTGGAGCTGGGGGGGCGGGAGGGTTGGGCTCTGTGGGGCCCATGCTTGGGGGGGGGGACTCGTCCTAGCGCCTCCTGGTGCTGAGGCTAACTCAGGAAAGCGCCCTCTGCTCTGCTGTTAGGGACAGCATCTTCCTCACTAGGCTGGCCCCACAGGGTGGCTGTGCTGGGCACAAGGCGGTGAGGCCAGGACCCCAGCGGCTCCTGGATCTCCTTCTGGGTTTTCAGGTTGCACCCTGGATCTCAGGCTGGTGCCGGCTTCATACCCAGCATTCTTGCCTGGGAGGCACTTTCTGGTCTCCCTCCTCTGCTCCCCTTTCTTTCTTACCACCCATTTCCACCCAGGGGGGGATTCCTTCCCATCTTCAAAGCAGACTAGCCCTTGGCCCCCATCTCAGAGCGTGTGGGTGGGGCCCCCATTCTGCTTCCTGACAGACCAGGGGAGGCACCTGAGCTCTGCAGGACTCCCTCCCACCCACCACAGGGCAGCCCTGCTCATTGAAAAACCCCTCCCTGTAATTCCCCTCCAGGTTTTAGATCTGCCTCTGGAACAACCCAGAATAAGTTTGGGTCATATCTTTTCACATGTGGAGGGTGCCCCTGTCAGTTTCCCTTTCTCCTTGTTGAAGAACTCTTCTAGTTCTTTGAACAGCCCACACGATGTGGCCATTTAGCTCCCTCTCCATCCCTCATTCCTACATGGCCTGTAATCTGTTGTCACTAGCCTGTCTTTCCTGATGGGCCAAGGTGCTCTGTTGCACCCCAAGTCCCAGCTCCGTGTCTTCATTTATGTTTTCCTCTTTGCCTGGAACAGCCCTCTCCTGCTTCTCCTGTCTTCACTCCATCCCCAGGACTTCACTCAGCACCACGTATAGGAAGCCTTCCCTGCTTTCTCCAGTATCATCAGAGGTTCCTTTTTCCTTATAAAATACCTGATGTAATAATTAATTGTTTGCATTTCTTTTCCACTATACTTTAAGTACTTTGAGGGCAGGGCTCTGTCTTTGTATATTCAGCCACTGGTATGGCACCCTTAATAAATACTCAATGAATAAGAAACAAATGGCAGCTTTCCTCAAACACCCCAGGGCCTTTGTACTTACTGTTCTCTTAGCCTGGAACATGTTGACCAAAGATATTCATTGATCTCATTCTTCCTCAAAGAGGTGTTCCTAGTGCATTTTAACTAAACTAGCCCCCTAGTCACCCTGTACCCGTTTCCCTGTCCCCTGCACAGCATACCTCACCACCTGGCATTCTGTTTATTTACCTATTTGTATGTGAGTAATTATGAACTGCTTATTTATTTGCATTTATTATCAGATAGTATGTATTATATGTAGAACTAAATATGTGCTTGTGTGTGGATATATTCTTCACCTTTCTGTTCCCACGGCTTGTCTCCCAGGGCCCTCGGTAAACCGTTGTTCAGACAGCGCATGGAACCAGAGGCAGAGGCCAGGACGTGGCCTGGCCCACACTGAGTGCATTGGGGCCGTTCCCCTTCTTTTCCCTTGGGATGTTGTCTTGCTGAGACTGCCCCAATGCAGGGTTCTCAGCCCCTCACGGTGACACTTCTGTGAACCCTTCTGCGGGTGCATTGCGAAGAAAGCTCTGGTCTCCATTATCCCTCTTGGTTTTTCCAGAGACCTCAGGCTGGTCCTTGGGGCTTTTGATAACTGACAGTTGTCATTTGGCCCACAGATGTTCTTTTAGGTTTCTGTTCTTCCTGACTGTTTTCAGTTTGGGTCACTTTCTCCGCTGGGAGGACATGATCCCCGCCCACTTCGAGTTCCCTCTTAGTCACCATTCATCAACGTTGCCTTTGCTCATTTGTGCAGAAACGAAGAGATTCTCAGTGGATCCTAAATTTATCAAGGGAATTTCCCCATCTGAGACTGCAGACTTACAGCAAGCTAACTGGGCCAACACACAGGGCTGCACGGATTTTGTCAAAACACAGTGAGATCTTTGTTGGTGGGAATACAGCACTATAAACAGAAAACTCACAGGATGCTGATTCAAACAACACATCCCTCCTTTTCAGTGTTTTTTTGGGTTTGTTTCCTTGTTGTTTTCTTCTTCCTCTGCTTCCAGTTCTTTTTCTCTACGTACCACCCCTCTCCTTCTTTACCTGATGAGAAAGAATATGCTTATAGAGCTTTTGGAAAACACACAATGAGAGAAGAAAATAATCTTTCAACCCAGAGACCACCAGAGTTAATAGCCTTATACACACGCACACGCACATATATGTATATTTTTGGGAGACTGGTTATTTAAAATATTTTTTCTAAATAAATAAATCTTTAAAAAATAAAAATAATAAAATATTTTTTCTATTTTTTTTTTTTAAGATTTTATTTATTTGAGAGAGAATGAGTGAGGGGAGAGGGCTGGGGGAGAGGGAGAGAGAGCATCTCAAGCAAACTCTGTGCTGAGTGTGGTGCCCAACTTGGGGCTTGGTCTCATGACCCTGAGATCATGACCTGAGCCGAAACCAGGAGTTGGTCACTTTACCAGCTGAGTCACCCAGGCGCCCCTTTTTTCTGTTATTTTAATTGTTTGACCTTTTAATTATAAAACTTACTGAATTGCATGGTAAAATATTCCGACAGTTTTGAAGTATAAAAAGAGTAAAATTTGCTCGTGCATGCCACCCTCACCTTGGGTGTCACTCAGGAGGTGTCCTTCCCCAGGTGCTTCTGTGCTTTTACAGTTTTGTAGGTTTTGGCTCCCCTGGTCCAGATAGACTCATCAGGACCTTTTATGAAATAACATGCATGTCATCAGGACATACCATCATCAGTGACACTTTTTCTCTGGAAGAGAATCTGATTGGCTGAGTTTTCAAGTCACTGGTTCCATCAATATCAGATGTTTTTTTACTAAGGTCAGATCTGTTCTGTTCTCACTTTGAGAGGGAACCCAAGAAAGTAAGAATTGCGATTTGTAGAGCCAACTCAGGAACATATTTGTCTTGTCTGCAGTTCTTTTGTGGTAGATGGTCCAGCATATTCTAGCTGTCATGTGCTCAGTTTTCAAAATTTGCTCTTGGTTTGAAAGAGGGTCTCACCATGGCCTCATCTGCTTGGCCCTTCCCAGCCAGCCCTGCTGGTCACCCATAGGCTCATGGGCTGCTCTCATTTGGGTGTGGAGTCATCTGTACCTTGTGCTTGTCCTCTCCTATGCATCTGAACTGATGAGATAGAAACTGGGGGACAGCTGTTTCCATGAACTGCTTGCAGTCTGTGAACTCAGGTACATGGTCAAGGGACTCAGAATGTGTGGGGTGCCACAGCCTGGAGACCTTTCTGCTAACTGAGCAGGCCGCTGCCCTTCAGTACGTGGAAGGCATCCATGGGCCTGCACATGGAAAGGGTGCATGCGAGTTGCCTGTTGTTCCATGAGGCTAATATGTCTTTCCTCGCCTTTCTAGACAGCCGCCTGAGGCTCAGCCAAGCGCAGGGGAATCTGTCGATCCTGGAGACGCAGCAGGTGCAGCTCGAGTGTGTGGTGCTGAACCGCACCAGCGTGGCCTCCCAGCTCCTGGTGGAGTGGTTTGTGTGGAAGCCCAACCACCCGGAGCGGGAGACCGTGGCCCGCCTGAGCCGCGAAGCTACGTTCCACTACGGGGAGCAGGCGGCCAGAAATAACTTGAAGGGGCGGCTGCATTTGGAGAGTCCTTCCCCTGGCGTGTACCGACTCTTCATCCAGAACGTCGCTGTGCAGGACAGCGGGACCTACAGCTGCCGCGTGGAGGAGTGGCTGCCCAGCCCCAGCGGTGTGTGGTATAAGCGGGCAGAGGACACTGCTGGGCAGATGGCTGTGACCGTCATGAGGCCAGGTGAGGGTTAATGTCCCCAGGCCCTCGGGGCTCTGGGTCTTTCCCCTCTCAGGGTTATACTTGGTGCACTGCACGGAGTGAGTGTATTAACACATTGTTTGCAGTTAAATATATGACCATTTACATTTTGTATTTGCATTCAGAATTGTCTCACATTTTTTTCCCCCTAGTGAATGGAAAAATGGCACATCTGGCTTTGGCCTAAAGTGGTTCTATTTCTTAACCAGAATAGCATTTTTCAGTTAACTGTTGTAGAATGTGGAGTATTTCCTTGTTAAAGAGTACAGTTCCAGCTCAGAAGGTGGTGGATATGCAAAAATCTTGAAACAGTAGCCATGTGGCTTAAAAAAGTTAAGCTTGTGGATTTTCAGTGGAAAAGAATTGATTCACGTGCTTTAAATAGAAATAGCTTGCTTTACATAGGAAAAGATGAAAGTTAATCTCTCACTACCTAATAATTTTTTGGTACCAGTGACCACTCTGTGTGGCCTTTCTTGTCCTTGTCATTTCTATAGTAGCTAAATGAACATAATTACTCAGTACAATTATGGTTACACATTTCCACCCATAATAAAAGCAGAGGTGGTCCTCTGGAACACCACATCCTCATCCATCCTGGTCCCAGCAAAAAGTCAGTGGTCCCCCAGAGGACATGGAGCAGAAATGGACTGGTGGCCTGTGTCCACGTGAACGCTCTGTCTTGTTCGTTTCCTGTGCATCCCAGCGTTCTTGTGTATAGTCTGTTGGAAGTATCTGTCACGTTGGCACATCTCCCGAGAGCGCTCTTTTCGTGGGTAGGACATGGTAGCCTCGCAGCTGTGCCCAGGCCCACGTGTCATGGAACACACCTCGGAGTGAACACACCATTTGTTCTGGGAAAGAGGCATTATCTCAGTGCTCTGTGTCTTGCCTACGCAGGATGGGAAATCACCTCTGCTTCGAGTTACTCATAGTTCCCAAGAGCCTTTGTTTTTTTTCTTTTACCATGCCTAGAAACTGCTGCGTGTCTTCTCTCAAAGATGAAATTGTAGAGAGGTGGCTTCGAAGTGCTCTTGTCCCCCAGCACCCAACCATGTGCACGTCCCCACTCCAGGGCTGCAGGGCAACTAGGAGGGGACGGACATTTACCAAGTCCCTGCTGCATTCTAGCCTAACATACAGGGGAGAGGTGGAGGTGGCCTTCTTTCCTGGGGCTTGTACCTGAAACAGGAAAGAGAGCTCAGGTTTGCATAGGGAGATGGTTGGGCCTGTTCTAAAAGGGGACAGACATGGGCAACCAAATTAGTAGAGAGGTATGTTCAGGGGAGGGGGAGTGCGTGGGTAGGTGGGCATTCGTTTCATTCAAAAAACTTGCTTTGAGTCATTCCTGCAGATGAGGCACGCGAGGGAGCCAGGAAATTGAAACTAAAGCTCCCCTGCTTATATTTAAGCATTCGGGGCACGTGGGTGGTACAGTCCGTGAAGCACTGACTCTCGGTTTCTGCTCAGGTCACGATCTCAGGGTTGTGATGTCGAGCCCCTCACAGGCTCCGCGCTCAGCACAGAGTCTGCTGGAGACTCTCCCTCTGCCCCTCCTGCTCCGGCTCTCTCTCTAGAATAAATCAATCAATCTTTAGATCATAAGCATTCAGCCGAGAAGAAAACAAAGGACAGTAGATGAGGAACAGATCCTTCCAGGAAACTAAATGTCCAGGAGCTGCTCGTCTTGCCGTTTGGGGTCCACTGCTTCTCACTGGCCGGCCGTCAGGAGCTTTAGGACACTAATGCAGTAGGTGCTACAGAGCAAAGACACCGTGGACTGCCCCCTCGAGCATTTCTCTCTCCTGGCTCTGGGGTTACCTGCTCTCTGGAAGGGTAAGCCATGAGCCAAGGAATGTGAGTTGCCTTTGAATGGATATTCTGCATCCTGCCGCCTTGCCCTCCAATGTGTTCTCCCCCTTGGGAGCTGGGGCCAAGGCGCTGTTCCCGCCACCTGTAGAAGGTTCCTGAGCCTTTCTGTGCCAGCGATGCACACTGAGATTCTAGATGGGCCCTGGGGGGTTTCGAGGGGCTTGGCAGAGCCCCATGGAGGTGAGGGGACCCCAGCTTTGTGTTGTCCTGTGAGCAACGTTAAGCCAATTCATCGAAAGCCCAGGACAATACTTGGGAAATGCTCCTCTTTGGTTTTCCTCCAAGCAGAATCCGATTTAGTATCTCTCCTTTTGTTGCCGTTGTGTTGGCATCTGTCATGAATATTTCATAAACAGAGCCAAACAGGCCATTTAAGAGGTAGGGAGTGGATTATTTGTTTAGTACTTGTCCCATTGAGCCAAAAAAAAAAGGTGGGGGGCAGCAGCAAAATAAAGAAACTGATTATGCTGCCTGGTGGTGTCTGTGACGTGTGACTCACCTGCTTGGGTCCCTCTTCCTGGCCCTTTTGTGTCTCCTGTCTTAGTCGGGAGGATGCTGTCCGTGTCATCCTTCTGGCAAGGTGGGGGGTGGTCTGTGCTCAGGGTGAGGGGCCCTTTCAGGTCTTGGGCTTGAGTCTTTGGAGAACACTTTGCTCCTCGGTTCACTATGATGTGGGTAACAGTCCCCACGCACACGGTTCAAACTCAGAAGCTGCTGAGGGTTGAGTGAGTTTCCCAGAGCTGCCATAACAAATTAACACAAACTTGGTAACTTGAAACAACAGTTATTCTCTGACAGTTCTGTGGGCTAGAAGTCTAGGAGCAAGCTGTCAGCAAGGCCAGGCTCCCCATGAAGCTTCTAGGAAAGAATCCTTCCTTGCCTCTTCCGGCGTCTCTTGGCTTCATGTGTCCTGTGGCTTGTGGCCCCATTGCTTCAGTCTCTGCCTCTGTGTCCTTCTCTCTGTGTGTCCCCTTGTCTTATCAGGACACGAGTCATTAGATTTGGGCCCACCCTAAATCCAGGGTGAGTTCGTCACATCTGCAAAGACGTGATTTCCAATGAAGGTCACATTCTGAGGGTCCAGATAGACGTGAGTTTTAGGGGGACCCTTCAGCCCCTGCAAGAGGTTGCAGTGAAAATAAACGTTGCTTCCTCCGCAGAGTCCCATAAGCAGCCATGCTACCGGCTTCTTGTGAATTCTGCGGATATTCAAAGCAAACATAAACAGATAGGTGTGTCAAAATAAAATATATTTTCTTCTGCATACAGTGACCTGTAGAGTACACAGTGTTCTAGAGCCTAGCAATCTTTCTGGAGTCTCCTTCCCCCACGCCGGGCACACGGCACCACCTTGCTCCTTTCAATAGGTGTGTGTTGTATAGTATTACTGTGTTACTAGAGTGTGTTTGGTGATGGACATTCAGGTTATTTTGAGCAAAGAAATTAAAACAACCTCTTCTTCCTTTTTTGCCCCCCACTCCCCAGACGCTGCCCTGCAGGTGGACACGGTGGTCCCCAACACCACAGTGTCCGAGAAGGCAGCTTTCCAGCTGGACTGCAGCATTGTGTCTCGGTCGAGTCAGGATTCCCGCTTCGCTGTGGCCTGGTACTCTCTGAGGACTAAAGCCGGAGGGGAAAGGGACGGCCCTGGCCTGGGTGAACAGGAGGAGGAAGGGGACGAGGAGAAAGAGGAGGACCAAATGGAGCGGACGGCCCTGCTGAGCGTGGGCCCAGATGCCGTCTTTGGCCCAGAAGGCAGCCCCTGGGAGGGCAGGCTTCGCTTCCAGAGGCTCTCCCCGCTGCTCTACCGGCTCACCGTGCTTCAGGCGAGCCCCCAGGACACTGGGAACTACTCCTGCCGCGTGGAGGAGTGGCTGCCCAGCCCTCAGAAGGAGTGGTACCGGCTGACGGAGGAGGAGTCGGCCCCCATCGGCATCCGGGTTCTGGACACAAGTGAGTCGGCCCAGGTTACAGGGGAAGGATGTCTCTGCTGGTTCCAACCGTTGGTTCCAGCTGGTGACTCCAGCGGTCTGGAAGAATAAAATCAGAACTTGATTATGGGGTTACAAAACAGTTTTCCCACCTGTCGAGGGCATTTTGGCTTTGCCATACCAGTTCGTATAGTTGACCCTCAGTTGAGGATAGGAGTTAGAGTGGGAACATACCGTCCAGTAATCTTCCTAATCAACTGGATGTTCCACCAGATTCCCTTTTGGTAACATTTCATTATCCAGGTACCCAAGCGACATTATGGTGTCGTTCTTCAGAATATATCACCTAGTCCTGCTCTAGCCAGGTAGCGTGTTTCAGACTCAGAAGGACACAAAATGAAGCCCGAGTACATTGCTGCTCTGTTTTTCTCAAGTTCCTGGCTCACGTGTGTTTTGGAGGGTGACTTGGGGGTGGAGCTGGATGTTGCATGAGTGGTTGGGATGACCAGTGATACTGTAGGCACCTGCTCACCATCGGCTGCTCCAGAAAGGTCCAGAGCTCAGACTTCTCATCAGATCAAGGGACTCCACAGCCAGAGACTGGAAGAAATCATTGTTGGCCTGAATGATTTGTTCTCACAAGTCGCTCTTTTAAGTTGCCCTCCTGTCCAAGTGTGTCATAGAGCAGACAGAAGATGGCGTGTGTCATCATAGAACTGGCCTGCAATGCACAAATAAAAAATCTGCGGGAAACCATAACCTCTTTTCCATTTCAGCCAAAACATTGTACTGGGTAATTTTGATTTGAGGTTTTTTTGTCTTGTCAGCTTTTTCTTTTCTTTGACTACCTCCTGTTTGGGAGATGGAACCATATGAAATTGAGGTTTTGTAGGTCGAAAGTGGGCGACTATCAGCAATTTCATATGCTTTGGAAATCTAACAAGTATAAGTGTGTGTTGAATTTTCTTAATAACACTGAGCAATGGCTATGCAGTAGAAAGGGAAGCAGAGAAAAGCCTAAATCATACTAAGACCCCCTCATAATCCACTGAATAACCCCAAAGTACCAGCAAAGGTGTTTAGTCCACATTTTATCTTCCCACTGTGGATGTTCTTATTTATTAAGTTTCATAGCACATAGAGGTCATCCAGCAACCCTGTTTTCCAGAGAAAACGGTCCGCTGCTGAGGTCTTGTACACCAGAGCAGACCTTGGTTGGGTCTGGAGCGTGGGGGAGCAGGTTTCATTACCTTCCACATCCAGGAATAACTAGCACTGAATTCCTTACAGCCACACACACACACACACACTGTGGACATTGGTAAATGGTCCGTAATGGCATTTTACTTGATAATGTTAAGTGAGTAAGCATCATTTCCAGTAAAACTGCTTTCAGAAGCTGGGAGGTGGGGAGAGAACGTGTCCTTCCCAAAGAAGGACATTTGGAGCAGAACTGAGTCCAGAGGGACGTGTAAAGTTCTCACCGGGCAGGTGGTGAGAACTTTCAGCTGCTCCACTATCCCTTTGGGCTCGCAATCAATAAAACGCATTTGGTTCTGTGGCTCTCCAGGCAGTCAGTACTGGCTCCCTGCGGGGAGACGGAGTCATTGCTTTGAATGAACTTCCAGCTGTGAATGGGAAGAGGCGCTTCTGGGAGAGCAAGGCTAGGGGGGTGGTCTCTCCTCTCTTCACAGCAGCTGGGAAAAGACAGGGTGGGTGCGGGAGCTGGGTTGGACTGGGCGAGGGCTTCCGGGAGCGAGGACCAGAGGTCCAGGCTCCCAGCCCTCACGGTCTTGCCTCTGTTCCAGGTTCCACCCTGCAGTCCATCATCTGCTCCAATGACGCCCTCTTCTACTTCGTCTTCTTCTACCCTTTCCCCATCTTTGGCATCCTCATCATCACCATCCTGCTGGTGCGCTTCAAGAGCCGCAACTCTAGCAAGAACTCGGACGGGAAGAACGGGGTGCCCCTGTTGTGGATCAAAGAGCCACACCTCAACTACTCCCCCACTTGCCTGGAGCCCCCAGTGCTCAGCATCCACCCAGGAGCCATAGACTAAGGGGAGCCCAGCGGATCTCAGCCGCGGAGGAGCTGAGACTCTGCCTTCCTGCCTCTTGCTCTGTGATCACGCAGTGGACGCCACCCAACCCCTGGAGTGCTCGCGCCGAAAACTGTCAGACTTGAGAAGCGTTCGAAGTCCCCGATCAGTCACAGAGACAAACTGCCTTGAGGTGGCAGTCCTGGTTGGTTAGCTGTTCTGGAGCAGAAGTCCTTATCCTACAGAATTAGGCTCCTTGTTTTTGTTTCCGGTAATGTAGTGAGTAGCTCCAGGTGCCACGTCTACTCACTGATTTATAGAGTATTCCCAGATAGATGTTACAGGGGTTCTTATTCTTTGTAATGGACTCTTTTAAAATCCCTTCAGTTTACCCTTTTTGGATTCCGTAATGTGACGGACGAATTTCTCTTAAAAGTACCACTGATGGCAAAAGGAAGGATGAACTTTCCGGCGCAAAGGAATCTCTTCCAAGACTTACTGTTTTTGCATACTTGAAAATGCTACCCATGGATCAGAACCCGCCCGAGCGTTTTTTACTTTCTTAATGAGACTTGAAAATTATGCATAGTGTGGGCCCAATTTGTATCTTATCGTTTCCCTCAGCTGGAGTGGTTGGAACCCCTTTGTAGTCAAGATGAAAGCATTGAATTTGCTTCAAAGAACTGTGTACATACAGGAGAAATCCAGCATAACCCCATTAGGAGTAGATGGTACCCAACCAGCCTGTCAAGGAGGCGAAAAATAGGCTTCATCCCAAGCTTGCCAAAAAAAAATGAAAACAAACAAAAAACAACACAAAACCCCCACTTTGTTGGAGAGGAAGTCAAAAGCTCCAAATGGCACGCATTTTGCCAGCTAAAGTGGGGAGAGGGCTACGTTTAGCAGCTCCTGACTTTCGGATTGGTCAAAGCCAGTGATGAGCAAAGGAAGGAGAAAGGACTAGTTGTTGGCTCGATCTCTTCTGCACGAGCAATCTCTTAACTGATAACTGTGAGCGGGTGGGCTTCCATTCCAAGGTGCTTTGCCAAACTCTTAAGGGAAAGTGGCCAGGGAGCCTGAAAAGGGGACAGTCTGAGCTGAACACATCAGGGCCCGAGCAGCTACCACAGGACACCGTATACCTGGAGGGGGCACAGGGCAGGCTGACGGCTAAGTTCCTGCAAGGGTCAGGGTGGGACCAGGTGGTTTCCGGAGTCTGACCTTGGAGGGAGTCTGACCTTGGAGACCAGGGGAGCTGTAACTGCTGCGATGGAGGTATGAAGACTAGGTTTTTCTTCTTGCCTGCAGTTAGTTTCCTCAGAGAGAGCCCTGTCTTTCTTATCCACCATTTCTCTCCCCCTGTGTCTTACTACCGTAAGAATATCTATCTGCCCAGGAGAGGTCCAGACACAACCCTTTTATGACCCATCAGAGGACCTAGTCTCAGTGCGAAGTCATCGTAGGCCTGGGTGTGGCTTTTTGCCCTTCCCCTTCTTGGATCTTGTTTGTGGTTTTGGTGATTTGGTTATTTGTTGTTATGGTGGCATCTCATTCGAATGCCCACCAAAGCCCAACAAGTCCAGTGTCACCCTGTTCCTTTATATCCCGGGGCAGTGTGCTTGGCTCCCCTGGAGCCCCATACTGGTTTACAAGTGTTGCCTTTTGCCCACTCCATGGGAGGAGTGCTTATGCCCTGGGCTCCTCTGTTTTGACGGCCAAGAGCACCATCTCCTCTCCTCTTGAGCGTGCATCTTGAATCCCAAGGGAATTCCCAGTTTAGAAAAAGCCACCAGGGACTCTGGAGCTAAGTCTAACCAGAGAGTTTATCGTCTGTTCTGAGGCTGAACAGACGTGGCAGGAGGCCACGTGGGTGCCAGTCTGTCTCGGGGTCCGTGGGGGTGCGGGTGGCACAGGTGCTCAGCTGAGGGGAAGCCTGCCTCCCTTTCCTCCCCCCACTCCAGTGCTCTCCTATGGGGCCGTGTGTAGGCACCACCCCTTCAGCCCCCCCCCTGTAGCCCGATGTGCTCATTCTCATTATGATGCAGGCTGCGTCAACACTTTGGAGGTAGTCAGCCGGCTCAGCAGTGAGGGAAGACAGTCCTTGGCCCTATTTCTTTTCAGCCATGTGGGCTTTCTGTGGGAAAATTAGCCCCTCATTTGTAGCCTGAGTCAGTGAGGGAAGATGACTTACTTTCTCCTCTGTGAGAAGGGGAAGATTCCAGAGGGCTGGGTGGGACTGGGAGTATAAACGACAGAGAAGAGTTGACTTTGCATTGGTTCTCAGCTATAGAAAAGTAGGTAACACACAAATTAAATAATGTGAAGCAGTTGCAGGAAATTTAAAAGGAAGAAAAGAAACCGAAGCCAGTATTTTAATAATTGGGTTTTTCTTTTCTTTTTCCCCCTGTATATTTTCTCTTGGGCTGGGGGCTACCATCAAAGGGTGAGCATTTCAGCTTTTTCGAAAAATACCCAGGACCTTGTTTGGCCATTTCTACGGAAATGTGGTGTCAGATGAGTGGTAATGGTGCCCTCCAGTGGCTGGAGACCTCATTGCACACGGCCTTCGGGAGTTCTAGGCCGAGGACCCGGAGAGGAAAACTACCAGCTGTTCTCTTGACTTATCTACAGCTACAATGTTGCATTCATGAAAAACTACACTGTGCTAGGCCCATCCCAGGATACTGATATAACCACACCCTCCTTCATCAGGGTGTCTCTGTAGCAGGTTTTCATATTCTTTTCAAACAATGGTTTCTCTGCGTTTATTGTTGACAAAACAGGTAGGGTAAGAAAACTACCCATGCATGATGTAGAGAGCTGTTGATTTGTTTTTGGGATTTTTTGTTTTTTGTTTTTTTTTTTTAAAGGAAAACTATTTGTAAAATGTTGCACTAAAATGTTTTATATACACTTCAGAGACCTGTAGTAAATTATGTTGAAAATACGGCTGTTTACAGTTACTGGAGCCTATTGTCCTCCTTTCTCTTAAACTGCCTCTCTCCTCTGAAACTGGGTGCTGGAGGTGTGGTGTTTTGCCCCTGGCGTTGGCCTGCTAGGCTCAAGGGTCAAGCACTGTAACCTTAATTACCCCACCCTGCCCCCAGCCTGAAGAGTGCCTTGAACAGATGATGGGGGGGAGGGGACCTTTCCCAAGATGCTTTATTGTCAATTGCTAAAGATGAATCATAGTACATGTACACAGTTACCCTGATTGTCAAGGCCATGTTGCCCCCAGATCTGCGCAGGCACCACACACCTGGAGGCCTAATAGGCAGGTTCACAAGTACAGCTCCCTAACCAGCTTTCCTTTTTGGGGTGGGGCAGGAAGGGGTAGGAGGAGACTGATGGAGCACAGGAATGGGAGAACAACTTCCCCTTGGCTACAGAGTCTCCACAACAAGACCACACCTCCTTTCTTATCAGCAAGCATTTTCTGGGAGGCAGGAGCCGAGCAGGAGCTGGGTTTTCCTGCTCAGGGTGCCCTTCCACACAGCACACCAGTCCACGTTCCCCACACCACTCGAACACTGGGATGGTACCGAGGAGTTCACCACTTCGGCAAAGTGAGAATGATAGAATGATTAAAACCATAGCAGTGACACATGATTCGGCAAAACCCATCTGTAATTTTGTACATTGCACTGACGCTGCAAAAGAAACTAGATAGCGGGTAAAAAGCAGAGGGAGGTGCTTCCTTTTCTCTTTAAAAAAAATAAATAAATCAAACCTTTCAAAGGCTTTAATGCACGCTTTCCTCAGCTTCGCAGCCCCATCTGCTGCATCCTTATCAACTTCTTGCAGCTGCTGGCCTGGCCAGGAGTTGAAATGGGATTGTTTATCCCTTGGGTACCCAGAATGGTTCCATGTTATGTCTTACGCATTACTTTTGCCTAATTTTTCTACCAAATGCTCTTTTTCTGCCAAGGCACATTTTAAAAAGGGAAATGGAGTATTGTGGAAGAAGATTACCCATCCATGCCTTTGGTGCAAATCTGCCCAGTATTTATATGAGTGAAAATGTACATTTCCACAAGAGGCTGGGACAATTTCCATGTATGTAAGATTGGGAGCAGTGTTTCGCTCAGCTCGTTCTGGGATTTCTAAGCTTCCTGGGGGGTAGTTCCAAGATAGGCAAGAACTAGAGCCAAAGAACCAGAGAGGGATGTGCTAGGAAGAGCAGCAACCCCATGCCACGTGAGCAGGCTGGATGAGCCCTCCTTTCTTCCCTCTAATTCATGATTTATCTGCAGTGATAAGCAGATGTGACTGGTCCTCACTACTGGCACCAATGAAAAATACATCCGCTCTCCTTTTGGGGGCATGTCTTCAGTATACGAATAGAGCCTTTTGGGCCCATTGCCTAACTCAGGTTCACCTTTCAGAGCCACTTTTGACTCTGTTAGGGTACGGAGTCGACCACCCCTCAATTAGACAGAGAACACTCTCGATAATGCAAGTTGCACAGCGAGGTTTATTTCCAGCCAGCTGGAGTCCAAGTATCCGCCCGGCGCAGCGGGTTTCAACAAGGACCCCGAGCACTCAAAGCCAAGGGTTTATATAGCATTTTCAAGGCACTTTCCCATAGCTACATACATATCTTGCACCCCACTTTGACAGTTTAACTTTGTTTAACCTTTTGCCACCCCGGCGTCACCCTGGCGCCATCCTGGCGGTTAAGTGAGATTTAGGTTTAGAAGAAATTTAACTTTATTTACATTTCCTTCTGCCTCAGCCTCCTTCAGTTTTATGGTGCGACCTTGGGCCTTGAGGAACTGAGCCCTTTATCTCTGGAAATTGGGCCATTGAAGAGATAGTCCTTTTTGTTGTAAATCACCAGTACATTTGCAAACCAAGGGAGATTCCTGACTTGCAGGACAGTGATCTCTGCAAGTTAACTATTTGCTTTTCTTTAACATTTGGTCCCTGTGGCGCCACCACCTAACCACCCTGGTGGTATATGATTAGTAAGTTTATATGGATTGGATTATAATTAGTTGTTTCTTAGGTTTTAGCTACTTTCTCTTATCTCAAGTCTTGTACGTCCTGTGGGCTGGTTAGGGACGCTCAGTAAAATGGCTTCTGGGCCTTCAGGATAGCCATTCTTATGCTAACCCACTCTTACAGTGCAAGGTGCCGGCTTTTGCTTTGCCAAGATGGCTGTACTTATGTCAGGGCTAGACTCGAGGGGGGTACAGCCTTGTTTTTCTTGGCCTTCACACCTGGAGCTGGTTTTCCGGGACTTGTTTTTAATTAAGTGCCCTGGGGGAAGGGGAGCAGGGACAGTTTAAGGGTTAAACAACAAAGTTATTGTTTAATCTCAATGGAAGCCTCTGGCTAAAATAAAAATATAAAATAGGTCCTTACAATTCATGAAGTCTGCTAGACCATGCGTAGAAGGAGCGCCTGGCTGGCTCAGTTAGTAGAGCATGAGGCCCTTAATCTTGGGGTTTTGGGTTCAAGCCCCACATTGGGTATGAAATAAATATTTCCCCCAAAATGGCTTGATAGAAGCAAAGCATTTCTCTTAATGAGAAAGCTGGCACTGCTTGTTGGACTTGGTCAGAGGAACATCTAACCAAAGAAGACCTAATGAATCATTCCTTACCCAAAGGCTGGAGGCCATGACCTGAGGCATACTTCCCAGCCCCATGTGACTGGGCAGACTTTTCCACAGCCCTGCTGGACTGACAGCATCTGCTGGCCAGTCCAGTCCATAGCATGGCTATTTCTGTATGAGAGGGTGAGAGTGGTGTTTTAGATTTACTTCAGCTGGACTGCCCGTGCTGCCCCTTACTGTGTGTCCTTGGGCAAGACATTTACCCTTTCTGAGTGTCTGTTTCCTCTTCTGTGAAAATAGGAGCAGCAAGATTAAGTTAGTTTAGGTGATGGACTTAACACAAGGCCTGGCTTAGTAAGTGCTCAGCAGATGTTTGCTGTTATATCACTTCTCAGTTCAAAAACATTCAGAAGCTCTCCAGTCTAAAAGTTTGACCTCATCCTACCTTTTTCAGTTGGCCTGAGTTCCCACCAGCCCAGGGCAGAGCAGAAATGGTGATTTTCTCACATTTTGTGCTATACATTGCACCTTCCTCATGTTCCGAGTATCTACAGTTGATAGGGAATGTCTTCAGGTAGAATGCTTCCTGGTACATGACATTGGTCCCAGAAATTTCATTGTTAGGGATGCCTTTTAAGATTTAAGGTTTTTTTTTGTTGTTGTTGTTTGTTTTGTTTTGTTTTTAAAGTAGGCTCCCCACCCAGTGTGGAGTCTAACACAGGGCTTGAACTCACAGCCCTGAGATCAAGACCTGAGCTGAGATCAGGAGTCAGGTGCTTAACTGACTGAGCCGCCCAGATACCTTTTAAGATTTTATGCTTGAGTTAAGAACTAATGAATTGTTACAGTATAGTTCAACTGTCTTGAGTGGTTTTGGGATCCTCACTTGAGGCTGATGGAGAAGACAGCAACAATAAAGCACATTTCCACTCCGTTTCTAAACTGACATCACTCTGGTGTTTATTAGGACAGCAGGGTGTCCTGTTAACCAGAAGAGGTTTAGAGTTCCCTTAGTTCCCGCAGCTGGGCGGGGGCAATTCATGTGCTTCTTTAGGAAAAGGGGAAGACAGGGAAGCCACGTGAGGAGCTGGTTCTCCGAGTCCTCCGGTCTGGGGTCAGATTTGAGCGAGGACAAGCCAATCAAGAAGAATGACCAATAGGGGGCGCTTGGGTGGCGCGGTGGGATAAGCGCCTGTCCGCCTTTGGCTTAGGTCATGGGATGGAGCCCCAGTCCGGCTTCCTTCTCAGCTTCTCCCTCTGCCCCTCTCCCGGTTCGCGCTCTCTCTTTCTCTCTCAAATAAGTAATACATACATGCATACAATCTTAAAACAAAAACAAAAAACTAATCACTAGGATGGAATGTTCCAAGTGCCTTTTGCCTCTGAGGCCGGTGGTTTGGGAGGAGGCCGAACAGTGAAGGGGCGACTAGACCCGACCAAACCTGGCTCCTCAGCCTAAGGGAAAGTCCACAGCTGAAATGGAGGAGGAGGAAAACAAAGAGGAAACTGAGAAGGGAGAAACCCAAGGCTTGAAGTCCCAGCTCCGGGGAAAGGGAAGGTTGGGGTGGGGGCGGGGGCGGGCAGGCTTAAGGAAAAGGTGGCCTGAACTTGAATAAGACAGGCGGGACCGGCGGCATCAGGTGATCCCGCACGTTCTAGCAGTTGCCCCAAATGTCCCGTTTCCTTATATTTTAATATTCCAGCAAGCTCCGCGCTGCTGCTGCTGCTGCTGCTGCTGCTGCTGCTGCTGCTGCTGCTGCTGGAGGAAAGCGCGGAAGGAAATGCTTCAGAGCCGCCCGGTCCTGCGGCGGAGTTCTCCGGTCCCGTACCCGCCTGCCGAGTGGGACGCAGCTTCCCCTCCCCCCAGTTACAAAGTTGCCTCCATCGCGTCCCAGACGTCCAGGAAAAGTGCTGGAGCAGCGGGAGGAACGAAGAGAAGCCTGGCTTTTAAAACGCAAGCCACTTTGATGGAAGGGCTCCAACGAGCAGACGAGAGGCAGCACAAAAACTCTGGGAACAGGGTGGACAGGAAGCAGGGGACGAGAGACGAGGCGGGGCCGGAGCGGGCGGGGCTGGTACAGCGGGGAGGCCGGGGGGGGGGGGGGGGGGGGCCGCGGGAAGCTGCTAGCGAAATTACTAGGGTGCGCTCTGCGCAGTAGGGCCGTAGAGGCCAGCCGGACGCGCCATGACCGCAGGGAGTGCGTGTGGCTGGGCCGCGGGGGTCCTTGGCGTGGTCTTCCTGGCGCTCCAGTTCGGTGAGTGGGGGCCTTCCCCGTGCCCTGGCGGGGACTGGGCAGCTCTGGGGGTGTCGATGGCTTCAGGGCTCCAGAGCTGGGTGGACCGGCGGCGCTCGAGGCGGCCACGGCTGGGTTGGGGAGAAGAAACTCAGCCCGCGGGACCTTGTCCGGCAGAGTTGTCACTTCAACAAGTCACCCGTGGGTAGTCGGGAAGCAACTTTGACCTTGGGCACCGGAATCCGCCTTTGGAAGAGGGATGGGACTGTGGCTTGCTCACTTTTCCGGTGGTTTTTTTCTTTTTAGAATCCTTAATCCCCATCTCCCCCAAGCCCTTTCACCTCCCCACTGGGTGTTTCTCCGAAAGGGTGTGCCTTTGCTGGGGTTCCAGTGACTGCGAAACCACTTGTTGTCCCCCACCCCCACCCCCGGGGTACCGTCGCCTAGCACTGGGACGGGCCTTTCACTTCTTCCGCAACGGGTAAGCTCCCCCAGGACCGGTCCCGGCGGCTGGACCTATACCAAAGAACTCGGCTTATCCGCGGCGCGCCGGGTGGGGCTCAGGAGCGGCGACTGCCGATTGGTTCCCCTTCTGCTCCCCTCTCCTCCGACGCCGCGCCGCCTTTGAGTTGAGCTCCTGCCCGAAGGGTACCCGACCTGGGACAGGGACCCACCAAGAAAAATGACTGAATCGCCTCAGGATTCCGAAGCAGGGAGGCTGGTGCTCCTTTCCCCTCCCCTGAAAATGTAAAAGAAATCTGTGCGTGTAGAACTGCGTTCATCCCTTTCCCATTTCTTCAGCTAAGTTAACAGCCCCATGAAATATTTATGTCTCCATTTTTATCTCCTCACCTTTATAAACCCCTACACACACAGCCGTAGCCAACCTCTGAAGCATAATAATAAACGCTTAACTAGTTCTTCTTTCCTTGAGGGTTTCCCGTTGGGGGCCCCTTTGCACATACACTAAGTCAATTTTCCATCCTCATTCTGCACTCAGCTCCCATTGAGTGTCTATGGGGTACGTGTCTTTGGAGACTGCCTAGCGCGGAGGGGTTGAGAGATCGCGGAGTGCCTACATTCTAAGACACAGAAGTAAATGCTGTAAGACAGGCTGAGCATAAAGTGCTAGGGGCGTCTACAGGGAAGGGAGCAGTGTCTTCTGTGGAATCAACTCTGTCTTGTGAAACAAAGACTTCATGGAAGGGAGGATATTTGAACCTGGCCTCGGAGGATAGATGGTGTGTGGACCTGCTATGATGTGGGAAAAATTCCAAGAGGTGAAAAAGACAGGGGAGCACAGTGTACAGGGTGAACCTGGGCAGTTGAGAATCATTTGGTGTCCCTAGAGCCTACGTGTGCCCGTGGGACCTGGAGGCCCTGCTGCAGAGCTCTACACATCCCGGATGGGAGTCTGGATTATCTTCTGCAGGCAAAGGAGAATTCTTTCTGGGCCTCACAGAATCAGAACCATGTGCTTAGGAGGAATAATCTGGCAGCGGTATGGAGGAAGGATTGCAGCCGGGAGTCATTGGAGGCAAGGATGCTGTCACAGGGGGATGCCATCACAGGACACCCCGGGCCCCGACTTTCCTATGCTGATGGCTGTGAGAAAGGGGCAGATGCACCTACAGGTGGAGCCTGTTTCAATGGGAAGCTGCCCGCCAGTGATTAAGAGCATCAGCTCTGCAGTCAGATGCTTGGCTTCCCACCCTGGCCCTGCTCCTCACCTGAGTTATAATTTCCGTAAGTTGCCTAATTTCTGCAAGCCTCACTATCTTGGCCTTGAAAGAGAGACAGAGTATCACTCACTGGTGAGGAAAGGTAATGAGAGTATATACTTCCTAGAATGTGAACATGAATCACTGAACACATTCTTACTGAGAGTCAGCTATGTGTTGGGCACGATACAAGGGACTGGGGTTACAACAAGGGACAGACTTCCCTGCTTTTGTGAAGCTTACATTATAGTGGGGGAGAGAGACAGCAAATGAATAATTGAGTAAATATATAGATGTTAGGTGGTGGTGAAGTAAACACTAATATGGAGATTGGTAATACAGAGGAAAGGGGTGTAGGTATGGTTGATATTTCTTTTTCCTTCTTTAAAACTTTGCAACATCAGAAATCTTTAGAATAGTTGAAAAAATAGTATGATGAACACATACATACTTTTCTCCTGGAATCCCCAGTTATTAAAATTTTGACACATTTGGTTTACTTCTGTTTACACACACAATTTTTTTTGTCTAAACATTTGAGAATTGCAGATCTTATGACACCTTACCTGTAAACATTTCAACATATGTCTTTTAAAAACGTATGTCTCCTGGAGTCCATGAAACCATGATCACAGTCAGGAGATATACCATCAGTATAATACTGTTTGCTGATAGAGTCCAGAAGCTGATCCTGGATCACACACTGCATTTGGTTAGTCCTGCCTCTTTAATACCTTTTAATCTAAAACTTGCCAACTCTTTTTTTTTTTTTTTTTTTTTTGTACTTTATGACATCACCATTTTTGAAAGGTCTGGGCCAGTTTTATAGTGTCCCTAGATTTGGATGGTCTGTTTCCTCATGATTAGATTCTGGTTAAAACTTGCAGGAATGTTCCATAGATGTGTCGTGTCCTTCTCCGGGCATCTCAATAGAGAGCAGATGCAGTCCTATTTGTCCCATTATTGGAGAACTTAACTTTGGTTATTTGGTTAAGTTGATCCACTAGATTTCTCTATCACAGAGGCACCTGTTCCCCTTTGTAAATAATATGTGATTTATCAAGTGACATTTGAGATTGTGTAACTGTCCTGTTCCAAAACAATCTTTCATGCAGTGTTTTAGCATCCAGTAGTGATTCTTCTCCAAGTCCACTAAAATATTTGTGGATGGCAATTTTCTACCCGTATTTTTCTTTATACATCATTGACATTCTTGAGTAATGAAGAGCTTTTGCTCCTCCTTTTTAATTTTTTTTTCTTGTTTTTTAGTTTGATTATGGACCCATGGGTATTTCTTAAGATGGCATTTTTTTGTCAACTCTTTTGATGCTCGGTGATCCAGATTTTGGCAAATGGGAACCCCTGCGTGCTTCCATGTTCTTTGCCATGTTTCCATCAGTTTTTGAGAACTTCCTACTTTCTGGCACAGAAGCATGTCTTGGACTCATTTTGTACCCTTTTCCTGCCTCAGCCTGTAAACATTAGAGTCTCTTGTTCCTTTTAGTGGGAGATGGGATTTAGAAATCAGTATCTGGGTATTAGGTGTGCTCAAGGCTACTGGAGTCTTTGTTTCTAGGCTGTCAGTTCTCAGAGATGGGAAAGTTTTCACAAGGTCCTGAGTTTATCCTGTTACCGCTAAGCCTCATTCAATAATTTGGTTCATCTTTCTCTTCCTCCATTCCTTATTCGTATCTCCCTTTGCCACAGTGAGAACGCTATTCCTCATAGCATCACTGTTTTCCTAATATGCATTAAACACAAAATAGTTTCCTCACTACTCTACCAGTACCGCTACCAAGCACAAACTTTACAGTTCGGGGTTTCTTCATGATTCTTTTTATTCATCCATATATCCCACTGAATATTTTTAAAAGTTACTTGGATTAATTTTTTTCTTCTGGGTGGTTATGCTATCAACGCAATATATAGTTGCATTAATTTGTTTCTATTCATTTTTAGGGTTCCCCCTTGATTTAATTTTTAAGTAGGTGAAATATTAATATGGTGCCAGTCAAACCATATAGAGATATGCTCAGAGAAATCCTGTTCCCACCCTATCCCTGTCATAACAGGTACTGTTTGTTTCTGTTTTATCCTTGTTTCTTTTTGTGGATACAAGTGTTTGATGCAAAAACAGTAACGATAGTAACATTCTCAATATACCCTTTTCTACAGAACTTGCTTTTGTCTCTTAACCATATGTCTGGATAATCATTCCATATCGTTCATAGAGATCATCGTCATTCTTTTTTTTTTAAAGATTTTATTTATTTATTTGACAGAGATCACAAGTGGGCAGAGAGGCAGGAAGGGAAGCAGGCTCTCTGTGAAGGGGCTCGATCCCAGGACCCCGGAATCATGACCTGAGCCGAAGGCAGAGGGTTTAACCCACTGAGCCACCCAGGCGCCCTTGTTGTCATTCTTTTTTTACAGCTACCTAGTCTTCCACGGGCTGAATGTCTGATGTTGCATTCAGCCATCCTGCTCTCTCTAGTGGTTCGTGTTCTACACTGTGTAGCCTGGGGAGGGTCTCCCTAAAACGGTAACAGGTGAGCGTGGCCTTAAGTGACCCAGGCAGCTGTCTGAGGGAGCAGTATTCCAGGCAGAGGGGCTAGTAGCAAAGACCCTGAGACAGGCTTCTGGCATTTAAGGGCATTCATGGAGCCCATTGCACCAGAAAGCAGTAGGAAAGGAAGTTGTAAGCACAGTCAGGGCTAGGTCCTAGAGAGAAAGTTCTGTGGGCCCCTTTAAAGACTGTGACTTTTTTACTCCCAGCGAAATGGGACGTTTTGGAGGATTTTGAACAGGAGTGAAATTACAGTGACTGGAATGTGTAAATGAATTATTCTGGTGAATCTGGAGAGCTGTCTGTAGAGGGAGCAGAAGAGACGCAGGGGGACCAGCTGGGGAGGCCATAGGAACAGTGCAGGTACGCAATGACCGCAAGAGCGGGTGGGCAACTGGATGGGAGACAGGGGGGTGTGTTTGGAAGCAGGAACCAGCAGGATTGGGTGCATTGTCAGGATGCCACATGGATGGGGCTGAGGTAGTCCATGCAGGTAGCCAAGCTCAATAAGGACTGTTGTTTCAGCTCTTTTTAGCAGAACCTGCCCTCTTCTGTTGCTGCTTTGTATAGTTCCTTTATCTTGCCAGCTATCTCCACAGAGATTTTCTTTCCCTGTATGCAGAAACAAAGCCATATACTACTTCTCAAAATGTTTCTTTCACTGATTTGTTTTCATGTTTGTTTGTTTTTTTTTTAACAATACAGTGTGTTAAACCTGGACATTAGATGATACA